CCGCTCGCAGGGGGCACGGGCACGGGCACGGGCCCCCTCCCCTCCGTGTGCTCACAGGACTCACCGGTGCGGTCACCCACCCCCGGTGTCCCCACAGCGCTCACGGACATAGGCCCCCCTGCTCCCCGAGGCACTGAGCCCCACGGTGCAGCCCCCCCTCTTCACCCACACAAGCTCTCCTGGGCTGGTGCAACAGACTCTCATACATCTTTGTTCCCAAAAATACTTTATTTATAACAATATATCCATTATCTATAACATGATCCAAAAATACAGATAAACATTTTTACTTTACATTCCGTTTTTTTTTCTTCATAAAAAGATTTATATTCTCTTCCATTTACAAAGGGAACATAGATCTAATTCCTTTAAAAAATAGAACAATGGGGTTAAAGTCGTTTCCCCTCCAGCTTGGACGCACTGCAATAAAGCTGAACCCCACAGGGTATTCGGGTACTTTGACATTTGGAACATTCCTTTACATGTATCACAGTCTTGTTCACCCTTCTCCAGAGAAGTATATTTAACACTGTACATTCAAAAGTCAGGAGAAAGATTTAAATCCTTTTGTAAAGAAAAATGAAGGCTACCGGTATTTCTGTCTATAAAGGAGTTTTAAAAATCTCTAAAGGCAGGTGTATGTGGCCAAGAGATGCTCCTGAGCCCACCAGAGCCCCTGTGCTGGTATGCTCCCAGTGGGACAGTTTATTGCTGGTATCAGATATCCTGACATGAGAGACGTTATGTTGTAAAAAAGAGTATTTTGTACCTCACACTGTTCACAATTCCTAGCGAACTATCTTTCTTTTTGAGGGCTGATGCCAGCTTTTAGAGCTTATTTTAATTTTTGCTTTGCTGGTTAAAATGGAAAATGTCTGCTCTTCTGAGCCCCGAGAAGCACGCACTAACAATTTTGTTGTCCTACCTGACCATGCTTTCTGAGCTGAGGGCGCTCAACTCATCCATAGCTGTGTACTTCCATACGGGCATGTTTCCAGCACGACCCACAAAGGAGGTGCAGTGGAATTCTGAGATTGTTTCAAACCACATGCTTACTGTATGGTGATACCACTATTAATAAAGCCTTAGGGAAAAAAAAAAAGTTGTATATGATATCATTGAACGGAAGGGGGAAAATAAAACCTGAAATGCTATCTACACTAGTCACTAGTCTTCAGGACGCAGTAACGCCCCTATGTTAATCCAGTGTAGCAGGTCAGTGAGGTACAGGTCTCACTCCCTGGTTACTGAATTACAGGCTGGCTCATGAGGTATCACAAATAAATCTGCTCTCAAAGAAAAAAAAAAAAAAAAAAAAAAAAAAAAAAATCAGAAATAAAAAAAAGAGGGCTGACTGTATTTCTAAGTTCAGGTTTGCATGATTGTGCTTTTTTCTCCTCCTTCCCTCCGCATTTAATCTGTCTGCCTGCTTTGCGGGTACTACTACAATGCCAACAATGACAAACGTGCGTCATCTTGTAAACACAATAACTACAGCAATTTCATACACAACATGCGGAGTGATGAAATGGAGCGAAGACACGTGCAACATCACAGTTTAAAATGACAGGACCCTGGAGATGGGTTTGGTTTGTTTTGTTGGTTTTTTTTTTTTCCCATAGCAGATGCAATAAATCAAAATGTTCACAGAAAAGCTGTCTCAGTATCAAGAGATTTCTTCCATGTCAGTCTTGACATACCTGCAGCATCTACAAAGCCCAACAGAGCAAAGGAGGGAAGGAAAATTGGCAAGAGCTGTGTTCTACTTTCATTGCAAAACACAAGAGGGTTAGTATTACAGGGAAAAAACTTGTTTCTTTTGGAAACAGGTGCCAAAATCTGACTAGAAGAGGGTTTTTCTTCTGTACTGTTCATTCAGATTGCTTTTACAGCCGAATAAAAGCTTATCTGGAAGTTTCTTAATGCCTTTCAAGCAGTCTATACCAAGAGCTCGGCACAATGGTATGCAAAGTAGTACACAGCCCTGCAAAGAGCTGCCATCTACACCCATCAGGGATCACAGACAGCAAAGTTCATGAACCCTGGTGCCTACTGCTGCAGGGGGTTTTCGTTTGGGACGGCTTTTTTTTTTTCCCCCTCCACCAGCAGAACCACCTTTCCCCACAACACCTTTTATTGTAGGCAGGTAAGCCCCATAATACAGGAGATGTATGTGAAGACAAGAGTTATCCCTGCTCTTCCCTCAACTTCTGCATCCACTCTAACTTAGAGGAAGGAAAAAAAGACTTTTGTTTTCCTACTCCTGGTTCTTCCCCTGCTGCAACTGACACTGTGACGACAAGGATTCACATTCATAATCCAAAAGGCATCTTAAAGAAGTCAAGAACATGCAAATGTGTTCGTTCCCCCCCCCCCTTAAAAAAAGACATGAAGTAATTTTAAAACATTCCTGTTGCATGGCCTTCCCTCAATAGCAGTGCTTCACAGCAAATGCTATTCAAATCCCCACCAAACTACCCAGTGGCCTCCTTTATACTTTCCCACACCAACATGGGAATGTACACACCATCCTCAGGGAACGTTCCCCTAAAGCTTGTTTTCCTGATTTACCCAGGTGCAACACAGGCAAACACAAGTAACAAAAATGAGGCCTTCATCTAATTTTATGAATAAATCAGACCTTCTATCTCTGTAAGAATACTGTAGGTTTCATCTTCACAGTAATGTACTTAAAGGATCTTGAGAGAAATGGGAATAGCCAGGAAAGGTAACGCCCTCTCTCAATATTACTGTCACTAAGAAGCACTGCTGGACAATTCCTTTGCTATTTAAAGGTTTTACCCCCAAAAGACAAACCTTTCCTAGCAGATGAAAATCCAAATGATTTGCTTCTGTTAAGGTTCATGTGAATGGGGGCAAGATCAAGTAACATAAAGGCAGTGCAAAGGTAGACAGAAGAAACTCCCCAAAAGAGAAGGTTTGACCTTACCTCTCTCCCACCCTGCCTGCCAAAACTAAGCACAGTACTTGGCTTTGAGGAAGCCGACCCTGAAAACAGTTAACCAGTTTCCCTGTTCCTTTCTGTACTACAAAACTGCACAACAAATGGACTTCACGCCTAAACAACGGAGCCTACTTCTTTCATGCAGGCTACACTGGAGCACGTTTCTTATTCTCCCTCACACCAAGCTCTAGGCCTAAACTGTTTCCATGATGGCGATGCATCATGCTGAAGATACAGGTATTTCACTCTCCTGCAATGCCTTACATGGTTTCACAGATTCCTACAAACTAGCAGACTACAGCTACTGGCTGCCCTAGCACTTCATAGTAACTCCAATTTCAGTGCTGTGCAAGTGTAACATAAATAAAATCCCCATGGCAATTTCCCTCCCTCCTACAGCCATTTTCTTATGAAAGAACAGGAATTACAACTGGCCACTGGACAATTAAATATCATACCAGAAAAAGAAGGAGGGTAGTTTAAAAAAAAAAAAAAAATCAAAGATAATATTGCAACATGAAGGAAGGAATATATTAAATTCTTCTTGCCTCAGAGGATGTATTCCCCTCTACTCCTTACTTCTTTTTCTTTCTTTCCTGAACACAACGAGGACAAAACCTACAGGGAAAAAGAGGCAATAATCAGTTCCTGAAATTAACAAAACATAGTCCAAGAACTGTTTTTATTATTTGGGAACCAGTGGGTGGGAGGGTGGTTTAAAAGCAGCCTATTTAAGTAACTGCAACAATTTTCATGACACACAGGAAGCCTGGGCAAATAGAAAAGAAACTGTATCAATTTGGGTGAGCAGAAGTGACAGCACTAGAAGGCTTCCAAGGCTCATCAGCCGCTCACAGCTGTTATTCACCTCATTTTATTCACCTAGAAGTTACTCCAAGTATCTTCTCCAAGTTTGTCACACAAGCTTCCTCTACAGGCAAAAGAAAAAAGGTACATTCCCCTAATTGTTTCCTTCTTTCCTTCCTCTCTCCAATGACTGCAGTTCACTTTCACTTAAGCCCATTTCTGATAAGCACCTTACTAGATGGGCTGTCTATTAAACAGAACAACCCTATGATTCTTTCCAAGATTAGCACATATATAAGCAAAACCTAGAGCAGTCTTCAAACTTTGCTTCCAGAAGTGAAAAAAATAAATACATTTCTTCTCAATTTTAACCACAGCCACAACCACACAATACAGCAGGCCTGATATGCAACAGGAATGCATTTACACAGGCCTCAGAACAAATGCAATTGTCATGCAATTTTACATACACCATGGTCCTTGTTTTGCTCCCACCAGAATCGAAAACTTGTGTGGAAGTAGACTTTAGGAAGAAGGTTCCTCTTGTACCTTCTACCTTCACACAAACACAATGCCAAACCATGGAGGATGTAAACCCTCTGCTGACAAGAGCAAAGCTCCTCTCTCAGGGAGGGTCACAGTGGAGTTTTAATTGTTATCATGATTATTTTTGAGGCAGATTGTAGCCTGATAAAAATCAAAACGCTGTACATTGTCATACCTACCATTTCCCTTTTGGTTTGGTGGTGAGGTCCACACAAGCAAAGTGGAACCATTCAATTGGGCACTGCAAAACAGAAAGGAAAACCCCACAGAAGAGATGTTTTGTGTCTCACAGATGTTACTTTCATTTTGTATAATCTAATTGAGCAAGTACCCCTCCCTCAGATTTTAGTGTTGTGATGTAGTAACCATCTGAAAATAAATAATCTCTAGTGCTTACATCTGGGTTGTCACAGCCAATCATTTCTCCATAGGACACCTGGTGACACAAGCAGTAGGTAGGTTCATTGGGGTCCACTGGCATGTCCAGGACATCCGATGGATGCACTGACAGGATGGTATCAGCAAACTCAGATCTGTGGACAAGGACAGATTGAGGACAAAACACTTTTCAGTTGTAGGCAACACCATTTTGCCAGGATCTAAATCCCACTTGGGAAAACTGTTTTTTAACAGTATCTTCCCTAAAATACAGTGACCTTGCTATAGAGTTTAGATTACATTATCACATATTATCCAGTGATTAAAATGATAAGGTAGATTTGATCAAACACAAAACATGAGCTTGACTATAAAGGATTAAAGAGAACAACTTGTAGATGCCATGACAACAGGAACAAAACCAATGTACAGATCACTTCTGCCTGTGGACAGAAGAATCTGATTTTTTTCCCCTCAACCTGTTTTAATACACATACTTGTTGTCAGGTACAAGTGAACCCTCTTGCTCTGACAGGAATGTATTAAGTTGACATGTCAGTAATGGTCAATGGAAACTATTTTTAGTTTTCTGCCCCTCCACTTAGCCAACTGAAAATATCAGAATTATAAGAGCCCCTTTAGTATGAGTCATATCCCAGGGAGCAGACATGCTTCCTTCCTTGCTTCACAAAACCCTATCACATTATTCAAGATTTAGGACAGCATTCTTTGAAAATACCCCACCAAATTGTCCAAGATTTTAGAACAACAATACAACATCAGTTTTTGTCCTGATAGGCAAGTGTTACTTTTTACAATCAAGACCACAAGCAACTGTTAAAAATAGCTGCATGACAAAAATCACAGCTATTTCCTCCCAGCTTGCCAAAAGCAACAGAGAGGCAGATCTTGTCCTTCCAGTCAGAGGGCATTCCAAGCATGCTGGGCTTCCACATGCCAACCAAGGAGTTAATTAACAGGACACTAATGAAATGGACTGAGACCAGAACACTCTAACACTACTCACCATCCAGACAGAAGACATAAATAGGGTAACATGAGCTTGCAGAAAATTCATCAAGTGTCAAGCCAAAGTCACCAGAGCTGTGACTGGGTATGCCTTACCCTCCTTTGAATTTCTTTTTCTTTGGTGTATCTTCTTCAGATGTTCGCCTGCCTCGGCCACGAGAGCCTCTTTTGTCTTTCTGACTTCGTCCCTCTATAAAGAAAAAATACCATCAATTCAACCTACATTTGAATACCAGGAACATCTCCACATTTTTCTTTTGATGGATTTATCGTTTTGAAAACCCTATTTCATATGTAAATGAACATGAATGCTGCTTCTGAAATACATTTTTATGCCACAAATGCACCAAACTGGCAAGCAGTACAACTGGGCCCCAAACTCTTGCATTCACAGTTTTGGCAATTAAATCATTGCAATACAATGTTAGCCCATATTGTTACACAAAATATAAATTAGATATATATTTTGTGCATTTAATTATACATGCTGTAATAATTCTTTTTAAAAATCTCAGTGTATTTTTAACCACTCAGCCCAGTAATTGGTTACTCAGTAACTAACATAACATTTATATCCACACCCCTGATCTTACCCTTATTTCATAGTTCAAAGGCATAAGCTGTGCTGCTCTTAACCGTGCTCAGATTTCACTGTAATCATACGAGACTTCCAGTACACATTACAGAAACTGGTACCTGCCTTTAACTCCTAGTTTTTCCTGCTGTTCTCAACTTGATTAGTATTCAAATTCTGATAAAGGAGGAAAACAAGCAAATTTGTTCTCCTCAAGAAGAGCTGAGAACTTACTCAGTAACAGATCAAGCCTAAAACTTAAGACTTACACTCAAGAGCTGTAAGAGTATCAGTTCGGTTTTGTCACAGTTAGTTCCCCCTCGACCAGTAGCCTCCTTACAACCAGTAACTGTGGGCCACCTCAGGATGATCGGGCCAGCAGAGACAGTAAGTTAGACCCTAGCATTAGATTCACCTGTTTATTGCCCACCAGAATGCTGTAAATATTTGAAGAACATTAAAAACAAGTAGAGAAGTACACCATAGTGTACTACTTTTCTTCCTCCAGAATTAATAGACTACTTTGTATCTTAGCCTTTCTGCTTAGATATGGTCAGTGCTGGAAAGGCTGTCAACTGTATAAAATTTACACACTTTTCAGGCTTCGAGATCCAGGGTTTTCAAAGTCACTGCCTTCCAGTTTATCTTTCAGATCTGCTTCAAATCGTGCCAAGTCTGCATCCAGCCGGCGGATATGCTTATCCACCTGCACAAAAAAGGAAACCATAAATTGAATTAAAAAAATAAAAAATAAAAATCCCCAAACGAACACAGGAAGGTCTAATAACTTGGCTCTTATCAGCATGAACAGGAGCACACTACTTCAGAGCAAGGCATGAAAGGGGTACCAAACAGGAAAAAAGGAAATGATACACACAAAGGGAATTAAGGAGGAGAGAAAAAGAAAACAGGCAAAACCAAGAGTACCCAATCCCTCTACAGACAAAGAGAAAGGAAGGAAAAAGGAGTTGGCATAAAGGAGAGTCAAAGTAACTCAGACTAATGGTTTCCAGAACAAAAGAAGACAATGAGATATATTAAAAATAATTATTTTCTCCCTGCAATTTTCAAAATATATTATTCAACTATTGTGCATGGAATGTGTTGAGCAGGTAACTCCTTTTTCTGGTATTCCACTAGCACTCTATTCAAAGAAATTCAGTAATAGATACAGGCTTCTGTTGACTATCTTGAATATCAAGTCAATACATATTAAGTACACTGTACTACCCTGGTTGCAATAATGTTGCTGACAGAACAGAGACAGAGCAAAGGTATTTTAAGCCACCCCCCACCAAAGTGTGTTGTTGCAGTAGCTAGTTCTCAAATTAGTTACCTAGTTATCTAGGACACTTTTCAATTCCTGTGAAATAATTTCCTTTTCTGCAGTATTTGATGCCAATAAAACTTACTGCAGCTGCAGATGTAGCAGAACTCAAAGCATCTCTAGAAACTGGACAAAACACACTAAGTACAGCCAAAGGGATTCCCCCTCGCTCAAGTTTTATCTGGGCCAGAAAATACAGAGATGAGATTTGTTCAAGAGTAGGAGCAGAAGAAAAAATTGGAAATCTGCATCTTAAGAAATTTTTCCCATCAGGTCCATCCAGGAAAGTTTGGAGTCCCATATACAACCAGAATGGTGGCACTGACAGGGCTGCTTTCTTTTGTCACTTGGACACCAAGGTAATTGAGCACGTTTCCTTCCAATAGCATCGAAGCTGACTTAAAAAAATGTTGCTTACAACTAAGACCAGCCCTAAATAAATTATCATGTGACAGGGGAGCTGCTAGGGAGAAGGGTAAATCAGCTGGTACTGTTACACAGCAGACAGGCACAACCGATCAAGCAATCTCCAAGTGGGATAAACTCATTTAACTCTTCACCAGAAGAGAAGTCTACTTGACACAAAACCTGGTAACACAAGAGGAGGCTTTGGGGGGATGGCAACAGTAGGAAAAATAAGCTTGAGGACTAGTAATTTGGTTTGGTAAGATATTTAAGCAAAACCATAAATATGTCAGGGAAAATGAACACCGTGGAAGTGTCTTCCACATCCACCAGCCACCCCATTCCAGAGTATGATCATTTTTACACAAGGCTCCCTGGCAGTGATCCTCACCATCTCGTAGGTCTGCATGGCTAGCTGCACTTTATCATCACTGTACTCTTTACATTTGCTGTAGGCACTCTGGATTTTCTTCAGGTGTTCCACTCGCTCCTCAGGTAACATGTTCTTGACTGATTCAATGTATTCCGCTGCAAGACTGTCAATTTCTGCTTTCTTATCTGAAAAAGTATATAAAAAGTATATACATGCGAGAAAGCTCTCTGTCAAAGCAAGTATTTTTTTCTACCTTGTCATAGTATTCAAAAGACCCCTGCTGACAGTTTTTGGACTTGTCCTAATTCCTTAATGTATTTACCTTTTTTTTACAAAAAAAATAAGTTAAAGGTATTTACTCTTCAACACTTGCAGTGTGATTCTGATTTCAAGTGTTTTACAGTTAATTCAGAGGAGGGGCTCACAGTTAAGCTCAGAAACTGAACTCATGGGTACACAAACTTCAACCTCTCTTCCCACACACAGAACATTACATTTGCTGCACAGCCATTTACTGTTCTGATGGTGCAAATTGAAAATCATTAATGTGCAACCAGATTCCAACACAAACCTCAAAAAAAATGATTGGTCTCACAAGACGCACAGCAATCTGCAACTCAGTAGATGCAGAAATACATGCAAGTAAGGCCATCCAGGGTGCCATCAGGTACAGAAATCATACAGCTACAAATTCATATGCAAATGCTGAAAAAAAAAAATCTACTCTCATAAGCTGCAGCCCTCACAGAAAGGAAACAAACGCCGCACAGCACTCAGGTCGAGAAAAGGACAAGTGGTAGAAGGGAGACACGGCCTCTAAAGCAATTTCCATATAGCTCTCCAATATCCTTCAGGTCGAGGCTCTCTACCAGACTGTGCTTATCGAAATACCTGAACACACCTTCTGTTCTCTGATCCAACTCCCGCATCAGCTGGAAGTTCCTTTGCAGCTCGCAAGGCAGGTTTTCGATACCTGGAACACAGAGGCCAAGAAATACCTCGCTTACCTGTTTACACAGGACTGTCCTCGCAGCAGCCCCCCCTCCTTTGACAAGGAACACCGCACCGCCTCACGGGGCCAGCAGCCGCGTTACCCCCGACCACGCTAAACGTACCCGGGCGGAGAGATGCGCACGATGCGCACAACGCGCGGGGAACCGAGCGGCGGGACAAGCGCAGGCGGCCATGGCCTCACACCCCTCTCTCCCCGGCGCGCAGCGATGACGCCATGCGGCGGCGGCTGATGAGCCGCCG